GAAAGAGAAGAAGCAGAAAAAGATCAAGAAATAAGAAGATATTGTCATCAGCTACAAGAGAAGGGTAGGGAGCTACAGGAGAAGGATAGGGAGCATCAGATGGTACTGCATGAGAATCAGGAGGTACTACAACAAAAGGATATTGTGATACTTGAGAAGGACAGGGTGCTGCAGGAGAAGAATAGGGAGCTGCAGGAGAAGGATCGGGAGCATCAGGTGGTACTGCAGGAGAATCAGGAGGTACTACAACAAAAGGATATTGTGATACTTGAGAAGGACAGGGTGCTGCAAGAGAAGAATAGGGAGCTGCAGGAGAAGGATAGGGAGCATCAGGTGGTACTGCAAGAGAATCAGGAGGTGCTACGACAAAAGGATATCGTGATACTTGAGAAGAATAGGGAACTACAGGAGAAGGATAGGGAGCTACGTGAGTCTCAAGAGGCAGTTCGTAGGTACCAGCAACAAGCAGAGCTTACTGATGATCACTGGGTTATTAATAAAGATGAGGTGACTTTGACAAAGGAGGAGTTAGGAAGAGGATCTTATGCTGTCGTTACAGTTGGTATCTTTAGAGGTTTAAGAGTAGCTGTCAAGTCACTTCATAATATCATCATCTCAGATTATAATCTAGGTATCTTCTCCAGGGAAATGAGTATAGCATCACGAGTACGCCATCCTAACCTGGTCCAGTTTATTGGTGCAACTAAAGTGGATAATCCTCTCATCTTGACCGAGCTGATGAGCACTAGTCTTAATCATGAGATTCGCAGAAATCGATTAAGCTATCAACAGATTCTGAGTATTGCTCAAGATGTAGCTTTAGGCCTCAACTACCTTCACCTGTTTAAGCCTCAGCCTATTATTCACAGAGATGTGAGCAGTCCTAACGTATTATTAAAGCCTTGCACTGGAGCTGCTTGTTATGAAGCTAAACTAGCAGATTATGGTACAGCTAAAGTAGTGCAAGCTGAAAGTTCAGGTACTGTTATGCCAGGCAATCCAGCATATGCTGCTCGAGAAGCTCGTGATCCTGAACAACACAGTCCAGCAATGGATGTCTACAGTTACTCTGTTCTCCTTATGGAAATGAATTTACGTTCTAAACCAGAAATGACAATATCAGAGAGAGCACAACAATCTGGTAGAGTCTCCTGGTCTGATATGAAGTCTCTCATACAAAGAGGACTTAAAGTTGATCCTAGAGCTCGTCCTACTATGGTTCAAGTAGTAGAGTCATTGAAAAGGATGAAGATTTGACTATATTTTGATATTTTTAAAAGGGTCATTAAAGGGTTAAGGTTGCTGCCTTTAATTAGTTAGTTTTATTCTATTATGTCTAGTTTTTGCTACTATGGATCTACCAGTAATAATAATTATTCTATTTCTGTATCTTCTTTTCTTATTTTTGTGTGTAGATACAATTTATAACTAGTAATAATTATTTATAACTTTTAATAACTTTTATTAATCG